GTAGGAGAACAAGCTTAGTTTTACGAGATGCCAATTTTTTGTTGTTGCATTTTAGAGATTTTGGTATAAGGCTTCAAGTGTCAGTGGGCATTGTCGAACACCCAAGAGCATCTTGCCAAGAAAAGAAAAAAAAAGTGGGACGTATATGCACCGGCCGCAAGACCAAACGAGCTCATCATGACATAGGGCATGTGCCTCGATACGTCCGTCCACATGCGCCACCAACGCGACAAACAAAAAAAGGGTGGGTGGAAAGCACCGGCGACAGACAAAGACAGGCATTTTCACGATTGAAAGCATACATTTGTTTTGCCTGCCTCGATCTGTCCGGTCACTTGCTCCACGAGCCCCGCCAACAGATCCCTTCCGCTGGACACCCGTGCCTCCTCCTAAGCACTACATTTCCCAAACAACATAATGATACAAATGAAAATCTCGTGGCAGGGACAAGCCACTTCAACCCCCCGAGAAATAAATCCGTAGTTGACTCCTACAATCTCTCTTGAGCCGTACATAGCCGCTACAGTACTGACTACCATATACTGTACCTCGATCCGCCGGCCACTTGCTCCACGAGCACCTCCAGCAGATCTCTCCTCTGGACGACCTCTGCGCAGTTGACGTACGCGTAGGAGCACCCCCGGTGGTCCAGTACCGCCCTCACCACCGAAGTCTTTCCTGTGCACGGGGGCCCCGTGACTAGCAGAGGGGGTACAGGCACCCCGTCCGTCGACTGGGGATTTGGGTCCGCCAATTCCCCCCCCCCCGTTGGCAAAGAAGCAGCCGTAAAGAGTATGAGGGGCGAAAGTCGTCGGTGTAGAGAGGGGGGGCGGGCAACGGCAAAGGGTGTAATCGATCGAAACAAGGGCAGCATCTCTGGGAGGGAAGGGGAGGGAAGAGCAACGTAACATGAGGATCGGCGGTATCACCCCCCCCCCTCCCCCTGACACCGATAGCATAGATAGGATAGGACAAACATTATTGAGCCACCTTCTAAGCAAAGTAAAGAGGGACGGTTGGCCATCGGTGATCGGTGATCGGTCCTGTGGGTACAACAATGCCCCGTCCTCTCTCTCTCTCCCTCGAGGAGGACGCGGAGAGCAGGAGACGCCCCCCCCCCCCCCCCCTATTTTCCCCCCCCCCCTC